TTATGCGTTGAATATTTGCTCCAAAAAAAATTAAGGTGATGTTTGTTTTTCTAAGACAAATAAATACTAATTTTGCAGACAACATATGCACACCTTTGTACTAGAAGAGGTGGACCAATCATGTATAGTTTGAAAGAAGAAGACTATTTGTTTTTGTAGCATTTGCGGCTGTTAGAATAAACTAAAACCTAATTAAGTTGCTTTATTAAAAAAAAAAACTTAAAAGAATTTTTCAATAAGTTTATTGTAACATTCGATTCAAGGTATTCCTTGTTTGCTCCTTGAAATTTGAAGATTTTGCAAAAATGGTCCCTCATACGTTGGGCGTACAGTTGGGTACACTTAGCGTACGCGATTGCTTTAGACGCGGAGGGTTAACCATGTACGTTGGGCATACATTATCGTTGGGGGGGGGGGGGGGGGGGTTTAAGTCTGTGTAACATCCAAAAATATGGTCCCCAAACTACCAAATACCACACATACATAAATCACACGCTGGGCCCCCGCCCTCCATTGGGCCTCGCCCAACATTGATCCCTGTTCGACATACAGATCTGTTATCATAAGGTCTCTCCTGTTATTGGGCCTCACCCACTATATACATACAAACAATATCACACATTCATGTCAACACAAATAATGGTCATAACCCTAGTTTATGCTCCATTCCTCAGGCCTCATCTGGCATCGAGCCTTGCCAGGTATACATAGCAGTCTATAACACATGTTAGGGTCATGAAGACTCCTAGTATCCTAACACAATCAATAAGGGTCGATATTGGTGCCTTAGACCCGCTAAACCCAGTGAGGAAACTCACCTCAACTGCTGAATCTCACCAGAAAAAGGTCCCTAGCTACTACCCTGATGAATCCCCGAGCTGTCAGTATAAATAACATCCAATCAATATCAAATACTCCATTCTTGGGGTAAAATGACCATTTTACCCCTAACCTAATTTGTTCCATGACTAAGGCCCAAACAACCATATAAAATGCCTAACCCTAAGAAATTTACCAAGGCCCACTAGTGGCCCATTAATGGCACAGTTTTCCAAATTGGGCTCAAACCCCTCCAACAAGCTTTAACTTAAAGCCCACCAATTTACTTAGCCTAAAAGTCTGTTTTCAGATGGTTTACTAAGGCCTAAATTAGCCAAGTCCAAGAAATGGACCAAACCGAGGCACAATTGTGCAAAGTCCCCTCTGACTGAGTATATAGGGCGTACTCATTTGTACCCAGCACGTACTCACTTGTTGGCTTGTACGCTGCAAGTACAGACTTGTACGCCGATCGTACTCCTCTATTAAGCCATATTTTGCTATTAAGCACTTAATGCTTTGTACAAAGGTCCAAACCACAGATCTGAGTGTCAAACAATGTCTAGACCCATAAAGTCGCTGACTTGGTGACTTTACATGCCCCAATTGAATCCAAACTCAAAATATAGTATTCTACTTTTATGGAAATGACACTAACTCATGCATGGATGGATTTCAACCTCAAAAATGACAACTTTATGACTCAAGGACCCAGATAAAACCAAGAGTGGCAACTCTAAGCTCCAAAAACGAGGTGGACTCATAGGATCTCATCGATAGGACCAAAAGGGTCCATAAACCCAAACCAAAAGAGATCTAAGATAATAAGCATCAAGTATGAGACTTTATACATCAAATGAGAGCACAAAGATGATAAGGTTCTGGATCTATAATCCTTTTCCCCTTCAATGAAGCTTCAAGGATGGACACTTCCCTTCAAGCACCAAAATACTCTTCCAAATGGCCTTCTAAGCTCCAAATCACACAAGATGGGATTAGGGTTCGAAATTAGGGTATAGAGGACAATGAGGCTGATAAAAATGAACGTTCAAGTCCATAAGGATGTTTAAATAGTAGCCAACCCCTAAAATTTGGGTTTTCATTAACCTTGTGTACACTCCGCATACCAAGTTATTGTTGGATTAGGTGTCTAAGCCCATAACTATATTTGGTATGTACTTGATTTGATTATGAGCATGGTCCTTTTGGGTTGTCTTTACTCATGCAACTTGATAGGATGACAAGTGGAGAGAGAGTAGGATTTATTATATGAATACTAAATTGATACTCAAAATGATTTTATTAATATATTATAAGATTAATATATTCCAAGAAAAACCAATTGTATTGTATATCATTGTTATAAATGAAAACCCTTTGTATGAAAACCGTGACTATCACTAGTATAAGCTCTGAATTTGTATAACTGTAAATTGAAACCTGTTGAGCGTGTCAAAACCAACAAATAAAGGGGTAAAATAACTCCTTAAACACTACTACTTTGTACTAGAAATGTAATACAAGGTAAGTAGGGTCGATCCACAGAGACACGGAACAAATGTTTATACCTTTTTACGGAAGGTACAATAATGGTCACATAAATGGGGGGTTGGTATGCAATGATTTAAACAAAAGAATAAAGCAATAAGTAAATGATCAATTAAATGAAACAAATTCAGGATTTGTGAGAACTCCAACTCTATGCAAGACAAATTAGCAATGTGATTCCATGGATGACAAGATATTTGTTTAATTCTATCTAAGTTGGTACTTGAAAGTGTTAACAAGCTCTAACACTTCCCATTCACCACAATAATTAACCAAAACAAGCTCTTTGATTAATTCTAACCTTACCAATCTAATCTAAACAAGCTCTTAGAATTAGGTTGAAAGATTGCATTAAACTTTATGTGAATGTTCCCAACAATAATCAATACTCCTCATAAGCTCGGGAGCATAAGAATGTGTGAATAGATTTACACTAATTTCATTCAATAGAAATCAGATTAGTGCTTGTTACCTAGTCCAATTTACAAAACAATTATGGATTTTGCAATTAGATAACTTGCATGATCTAACCCTAATCCAAATGGCCAATAAGAATCACAATTAGAATCAAACATTCAATTGAGACAAAATCAAATTCACTAGATAGAAAATTGAAAGCAAACATCAAGTCATATGATTGAAATCACATCCAAATGTCAAGACATAAAGTTGGAGAATTTAGGGTTCTAGCCACTCATGGCTAGAACAAGATCACAAATCTAGAAAATGAAATTAAAGTTCTTACAAAATGAAATCAAATGTTCCCAAGTGTTAATCAACTTCAAAATCCTCAAGAAATTCGCCTTCTCTACTCCAAAATTCGACCCCCTCTGTAAAAAGTCGGTTCCCCCTTTTAAGAATGGTGAAAAACTACTTTAAAACTCACGTTTACGTTTACACGGCCCGCGTAAATTAACACTGTCATTTACACGGCCCGCGTAAACGCAAAAATATACAGCACAGAAATCTACATTTACACGGCCCGCGTAAACGCAAGGCTTCCATGTACACTGCCGTGTAAACGTCTGTAAAGCCAAAATCCTCATTTCTTTGATATCTTGCTCCTCGGTGCTCCGCAAGTCCTGAAATTTTGTCTGCAACTTTTATTTACCTCCTCCAACAATATCCTTCCTCCAAAAGTCCCTAAAATATCACAAAAGTATTTGAATGAAATTGCCTCATGAAAAATCCCGAAAAACATGCAAAATACATGAGTTTAAGCCTATATGCAATGCACTTTTATAAAATAAAGCTACAAAATGGGTACATGAAATGCACCTAACAAAACCCCAAACTATACCTATTATAGTTTGTATGTATGTTATGTACTTGGTTTGAGTATTGATATGAAAACTATACAATTTTGGCTGTAAGTTGAAATCGTCCCTTATGCTCAGCATGTGACAAAAGGGATAAAATATCTAAATATTTTAGAGTAAATTACTGAAATCGTCCATGTAGTTTGGTCAAAATTGCACGTTTGGTCTCTAACTTTTTTTTTGCACTCGGATCGTCCCTACGGTTTGATTTTGTTGCATTTTTCGTCCATATGGTTTGATTTTGTTGCATTTTTCGTTCCTTACATACATAAAGTTAGGGATCAAACATGCAATTTTTACCAAACCATAGGGACGAAAAACGCAACAAAATCAAACCACAGGGACGATCCGAGTGCAAAAAAAAGTTAGGGACCAAACGTGTAATTTTGACCAAACCACATGGACGATTTCAGTAATTTACTCAATATTTTATAAAACATGGAAATCTTTACATGCAAAATGAACTTGAAGACAAATGGAAGAAATAATAATATACTTTGAAATATTTATGCATTATACCAATTGTAACATTGAATTTTCAATCTATTGTTATTGTTGTTGCTTTTATAACGGCATCTCCAGATTATACCAATAGTTGAAGAGTTTTTGGGTAATCCCATCAAATACATTGCTATTTCTTCAACCTCCAAGATTAAAGTAAGGAAAGGAAAGTCTAAAACAATACAATTGATGTTCCATTTGTGGCATCTTGATTCAGTGATGTATATTTTCTTGGCAACATGGGAAAAATTAGAGCCAGTATATGTAAAGCATTATAAAGTTTGTTGCTATTTTCTATTTTTTTAATAAAAGACCATGAAATATCGTCAAACCCCCGCAACTCCAACACCCGCAAGGTGGGTGTTGGAGTTCCCTAGTTTGTAACAAATGATAACGATGACAATTATTGGTTTAAAATGAAAAATATAAATAATATGACAATTATTAATGGGATAATGTCACTGTAGCACATGGAACTTTTAACGTTTGGCTAATTTGGTCCTTAAAGTTTTTTTTTGGTACATTAGACCATTAAACTCGTAACTGACCTTTTAATTACACCATTTTAGCAACTTTTAGAAGGTTTCCCGGTTATACGATGTCATTTTGTCAATTAATATATATTTTTTGTCTAATCTGATGCCACGTGAGATATGCCACATCAATTAATGAAATACGACGCTTAAAGCCTTTCGTCTTCAGCTATCGAACTTCACTAGTCTTCTTCTTCATTATTGAGCTGTAAAAGAAACTGACTTAGGGTTTGTGAAGCATTCCTGTGATCGAGCTGAAAGAAACAAAGAACTCGCAACAATGGCACAATCGGGACCTAATGGACTATTTGCGATGGTGGAACTCAACTACCAAGGGGTATTTAATCGAAATCCTTTCTCTTACACTGGTGGTGTTAAAACCATCTTCAATGATGTTGACTTTTCTTCTATAACTTATTCTGAGTTTGTGACCTTCTGCGAACGTTTCATGCATGAAGAGTGTAAAAAGTTTTACTACTGTGAACCAGACATGTCCTTCATGGAAGGACTTAATCCCATTTCAGATGATGTGGAATATTCTGCTTTTATTTTTGATGCTTATGGAACAGATGGTGTAATTTCGGTTTATGTGGATCATATTAGGGTTGGTGTTGATGGGTGGCATGATGATGAAGATAATGATGATAATGAACATGAGTCTTGTATTGATGGTGAAAATGAAGACAACATAGATGAACTTAGAAATGTTGCCTTTGAATTTAATGAGGATGTAGTGCATATGAATAGGACATCAAATGATCCTTTCTTGAGTAAGCTATGTGTTGATGATGAGGATGCAAACAACATTGTAAATGATGACAATGGGAGAGAAGTTGAAGTTAACATACAAGCTCATTCCATATTTAATGAGCTATTACACTGGAAAAAACAAAAACCAATTCTAGGGATGAGATTTAAGGGTCCAGGGTAAGTAAAGTCAATGTTGTGTAACTATGCTGTAGCTAATGGATATCAATTGTGTTTTGAAAAAAATGATCGGACAAGACTTTTGGTGAGGTGTAGCAAAGGTGCTTGCACATTTAGATTATGGGCTTCTTGGATGAGTGATGAAGAGAGTTTCCAAATCAAGTCACTAAAAGCTGATCATAATTGTGCTAGGAACTTCAAGTTTGGATCATTGGTGACATATGCATGGATTGGGAGTCACTATACCAAAGAGATTGTAGAAAGTCAGAAAATAAGTGTAAGGAAGCTTAGGTTAAAGGTAATGGCCAAGTTTGGTATCCAAGTTAGTATGGGGCAATGTAGAAGAGCAAAGAAGTATGCACTGAAACTTGTTGAAGGAAACCTTGTTAAACATTATGGTAAGCTATGGTCATATGGTCATGAGATTTTAAGGACAAATCCTGGGTCAACTGTGAAACTAGATATGGAGGATGGGCCAGATGGAAAGAAATATTTTAGCAAGTTCTATTGTTGTTTTCAAGGAGTTACACAAGGTTGGATTGAAGGGTGTAGAAGGGTAATTGGTCTTGATGGATGTTTTCTTAAAGGTGTTTGTAAGGGAGAATTCCTTTGTGCTATTGGGAGGGATGCAAATGACAAGATATATCCTATTGCTTGGGCAGTGGTTAATGTGGAGAACAAGCAGAATTGGAAGTGGTTTCTAGAGCTTCTCATTGATGATTTACACTTGAATTTAGGCAATGGTTTCAGCTTAATGTCAAACCAACATAAGGTTAGTATTTTACATAGTAATGCATTTATGTTAATTTTAGACTATCTGAATTTAACCTTTTTACTAATACAGGGTTTGATAGAGGCTGTTAAAGAGTTGCTACCATATGTAGAGCACAACAACATGAAGATGTTGAAATGACTCCAATTGAGATGGATACTACTCAAAATGATATGCAAGTTGCTCCTACTGATGTTGAATCTAGTAGTGTAGGGGATTTTATTCAATATGTGCAATTCACTCCACTTAGAAGTTATGAAGGTGATGAGGGTGTTATGGGTGAGGAAGCTGATGTGGTTGAGGAAGCTGTTGTGGTTGAGCAATTTGTTCAAGATGAGGAGGCTGAGGAGGTTGATCCTGTTATACAGGTTGATAATGTAAATGTTCAGGAGGTTGATGAGGTTAATCATAATGCCCAAGTGGATAATGGTAATGTTCAGGAGGTTGCTTCTGTTAACCAAGTTCGGCACGTTTGTGTTAGGCCAATTTCATATATTTTGAAGATGATAAGGAGAAGAAAGTCAGAGAGAATACTAAAGCTGAAATTAGGCAAAACAATTGGTGGTGTTGATGATCCAGGAATTTCGAAGGGAAAAGCTCTTGTAATTGATTAGTGTTTATTGTAATTTGTGTTTAAAGTTTATGTAATGGGATGATGATAAATTGGATTTTAAGTTTATGTAATAGGATGATGGTAATTTATATTTAAAGTTTATGTAATAGGATGTTGGTAATTTATATTTAAGTATGTGTGACATTAAAGGGTATTTTGGTCATTTAAGTATGTATGAAAGAAAAAGGGTAATCTGGTCATTTAAGTATTTATGACAGAAAAGGGTATGTTGGTCATTTATTTATTGATGACAAATAAGGGTATGTAGGTAATTCATTTATGTATGCAAGAAAAGGGTAATTTGGTCATTCCGTATTTATGACAGAAAAGGGTAATTTGGTCATTTATTTATTGATGACAGATAAGGGTATGTAGGTAATTCATTTATGTATGCAAGAAAAAGGGTAATTTGGTCATTTAAGTATGTATGATAGAAAAGGGTAATTTGGTCATTCATTTATGTATGTAAGAAAAGGGTAATTTGGTTATTTAATTATGTATGATAGAAAAGGGTATGTTGGTCATTTATTTATGTATGCAAGAAAAGGGTATGTTGGTCATTTATTTATGTATGACATGAAGTATGAAAGTATGTTACCATTTAAGTAAAATCACGACATTTGGCTTTGAATATTTATGCATGGAAAAAATTGGAAAAATGTGCATGCATGGGGATGGTTTATATGGCCCCGGATTTGGTTTTTTAATGGCTTCACAGGTCCCATTTTTTCATTATTAAAATGGTCTCCATACATATATGTACTTCCACATGGACCACTTCCTAGTTAAATATATTTGTTGGGAATATAGACCATGCATATGTTTGATAAACATCATCTGATTATACAAAATGCCCTATAATTGGGACTTTGAATATTTTTTTTACATTACTTATCATATGCCCTTTCATTAGGGACTTACCACCTTACAACATCAACACATTAAGGTTGATAACCCCAACTTATAACTAAAACCAGCTTCAATACATACAAAATGCCCTTATGGAACTGACTTTCTAGTCTGCCTTTACAAAAAATACAAGGGATCCCAAAAAAACAAAAGCTTACCCTAACCAACCAAACTAACTACATTGACCCCCCTAACTTCAAAACACATAGGACCAAGCAACCAAACAACAGGGCAAATATCATCTTGTACTTGCCTATTGACTTCATTGCATCATGAACTTCTTTCTCACTCTTTGCCACCTTATACTGCTCATGTGACAGCAAAAACTCCACTTCAGCAATCCTTCTCCTCAAATTGTTCATCATAGACATTTCATCTTTGGCATCCAGTTTCTGCTTCAGAGAATATAGTAGGTTTTTGTAGTACCCGTCTGCCTGTTCTTCATCTTTCCATTCAAAGAAGCTACATTTCCTCAACCTAGTCTATAAAAAGACAATAAAATTAGGGTTTGACTGACAATCACAAATCAACTACCTTTAATGTACCAGCGAAATGGGTTTTATTCACAGTGATCGTCAAGAAGGAAATAAAATTAGAGTTTTTAACAGATGAAACAAAATACAAATACACCATTGTCGTTTTTACAGAAAGAAACAACACATCAAACCATAAAATACTAACTTATCAAAATCAAGAGAATCGGGACCAACCATACTGTTTTGACAATTCCAGAATCGCCTCCCAGGGTTTGTTATCTTCCAACAAGTTCGTTCTTTAGCTGTAACGACACAATCACAAACCTTTATCCCTTCTTGCGACTGAACATGAGTGACTTGTAGCTGATTCCTTGACGTCGATGAGCTCGAAGACATTCTTCTTCAGAATGGAAATAGTCGGGAGGGAGAAGTCTTTGACTTTTCAGAGAAGGGTAAGTAAAGATTGAAAGGAGTTCCGAATGAGGGTTTCAATTAATAAGCTTGTATCGACAACTGGACCACGTAAGCTTATTGGACACTTCAGCATGCCACATAAGCATTGTAACCGGGAAACCTTCTAAAATGGTGTAATTAAAAGGTCAATTACGAGTTTAATGGTCTAATGTACCAAAAAAAAAAACGTTAAGGATCAAATTAGCCAAATGTGAAAAGTTACATGTACCACAGTGACATTATCCCATTATTAATTGTAATTGAAAATTTTAAGAAATAATTTTTATTTACATAAACATCTAAACATAAATAATATTTTAAAAAATATAAAATAAATTTTCGGTTCTTGGGTTAACAATATGTAGCAAAAAGCATAAACCGTAACCGAACCGAAAAACAAAGATTTTACCAGTTCGGTTAACCAAACCGAAAAGACAAAAATATCGATTCGGCTAACCTGAAATCGGTACGGTTTTTAATTCGGTTTTTCAATTTTAGGATATTTTGAATATCCCTACTTTTAAGTTGGTAATAGTGTGAAGATGTATCTCCTGGTATTTTCACATGTGGTATGGGTCACATATACGACTAGCGCCTTTAGTTGTGTTTAATATAATTCTTTTGTTATTTTCTAATAATCATAATTTGTTAAATAATCACATGGGTTTATTTTTAACATAACTCTTTTGTTATATTTTAATAATCATGATTTGTTAAATAAATAAGTAGAGTTTTTCCTTTTTCCCGGCTACCTTCCGCTTTTAGGCCGTGGCTTTTTTTAATGAAATTGGGTCGTTTCCAAAAAAAAAATGATTTGTTAAATAATCACATGGTTTTGCTTACTATAATAAATCGCAATCATGTATACATTAAATTAAGTAGGAAATGAGGTGTACATATTACCTCGGAATCAACCAAGTATGTTCTTCAGCTTTTTGCTAAATTAATTCAAATGAGTTACTACTCATAAAACGATTGGAACTTTGGTGTTATATCCTACATGGGAGTTGTCGAATGAAGCCTATAGTAAAATGTCATATAATTAGCCCTGTCGAAAATACCCGATATCCGAATTACCCGCCCGATTTTTTCGGGTATCGGGTAAATCGGGTCGGGTAAATCGGATATCGGGTAAATTTTTCCGGGTAATCGGGTTACCCGATTTTTTCGGGTCGGGTAAAGGGTACATTTTTTGGGTTTCGGGTATACCCGAATTACCCAAATTATTTTAAAAATTCATTTTTTTTGTAGAGCTTGTACTATATAATAGGTATTTCATCACACTTAAACTAATATCATTATTATAAAACATAAATATATTTATTATGACAATACGACACTAACAATATTAAAAGTAATTTTTATATATCATCACGTTTTTTAAAACTTAACTAAAAAACTTATTATTTTGACGAAACTTATTATTTTGACGAAACTTTAGAACATGACAAAACTTATGACTACATTTATCTTAAACATTTTAAACTTTTAAATTAAGATCTTTAAGTATTTGTTTTTTTAACATCTTATTAGATTAGATTAAGTCGTTAAAAAAATACTTGATATCTCATGTATTATTGAGTAGAAAATCTTAATGTTCAAAGCTTGAGTAACTTCGTTTATGACTCGTTTGTTTATATAAACAAGACTAATAAAGCACGACGTATTTATTTCATTAAGTTTATTTTTAGGTGAAATTCAAAAAAAAAATTCATATATTTCGGGTAATACCCGAATTACCCAAACCCGACCCGATACCCGAATTACCCAAACCCGAATTACCCGAATTTAGTTTGGGTATGGTAATGGGTAATTTTTCTAACATGAAAAACTCGAATTATCCGACCCGAATTACCCGAAACCCGAAAAAATTACCCGTTCAACACCCCTACATATAATAATCTTACCTTACCTTGTTTGCAAAGTAAACTTTAGAAAATGTATTATTTTGATGAAACTATAGTTGTCAAAATCACGATTCTGATCGTAAGATTGTACAATCCTAAATATGAAGAACGAGCCGCATCATAAATAAATCGTATTTGGGATAGAATTGCAGGTAGGATCGGAATCCGATCTAATCCTACCTTCCCTTGTTATTTTATTTTATTTTATTATTTTTTTAAATGAATTTTTTTATCACTTTATGTTTTTTACTTTTTACCAATTTACCGTTTGTCATTTTATGTTGTAACATATGATTAATATTTTGAAGTTTTTATAATTTTTGAATGAAAAATAAAATGTTTGAAATATTTTTCATGTTTTAAAATTATAAATTAAAATTATGTTTTATTTTGTGGGATCTTAGGATCTCAATCTCGATCTTAGAAACTCAAAAACGAGATCATATGTAAGATCCTGATTTTAACAACCTTGGATGAAACTATTTGAAGATTAACCCAACTACAAAAACTTTTCATTCGACAATTAGACAAAAACATTTGGTGATTTAAGGGATGTTTGGCAAATCAGTTTATTAGCTTATTACTAGTTTCACATAGCTTTATGTTTAAAAAGTGTTTTGATAAAGATAACACAATGACGACAAGTCGTTAATAACTTAATTTTTCATAAGTTAACTCCTCTTACTTATAAGTTTATAAGCTAATAAGTTATTAAGAACGATAATTTTTCTTTTCTTGCCAAACACCCTATTTAAAACATTGAGTTTTTTAAAGAAGGTTCTTTAGTATGTGGGGCCAGATGGGCCTATTGGTCAAAACGGCCATCCTTGGTATTTCTAGAAAGTAGAAACCTACTCGGTATTTACCATAAGTTTGTGTCTCAAAAACGGATTTTACTTAAAATAATTAAAGGGGTAATATTGAAAATTGAAACCTAACCGGATAAAGCTATTTGACTTTCAAACCTCAGGAGTCAGGTCATCCATCCAGACATTTCCTAGATCGTCGGCGTGCGCATCCTAAAGTTGAGATGCTAACAAGCGCACACAAACCCACTCTCTATATATATGACATGAACATGATCTATTGCAAGTATACATAAAATCTTCATCAACATATTTTCTTTCGGAATTGACGTTCCAAATCAAAAAACAAAAGTCGACATGGTGCTAGACAACAGTTATAATTCATGGGCCGATCAGTGGGATACAAGATCAGAGAACGTGAATCCCACAAGCAAGAAGAACAGCACAGTGAAAGAAAAGGTCGGTGATGGCTTAGGCAAGACAAAAGCGGTGGCTTTAACTGGGATGAAAAAGGTTAAACAAGGAACAAGTATTGGGTTTCATTGGATCAAAGAGAAGTACAACAAATCTGCTAATAAACGTTGATGATTGATCCATCATATATAAGGATATCTTTGTATATCATCTTTGTATTATTCTGTACATCCATGTTTAAAGATTAGTGGTTTGATGAATTTGGCTTTGTTTCTATTCTTAGTCGAGTTTTAGTTCATTGTTTGATTGATTTAATAAAAAATATGCATTTGTGTTGCTATAAATGTTTTTGTAAATCAAAATAGGGTATTTTTATAAACTTTCACCAAAGTATATGAAAATTTTGTCGTTCATTCTGGATCTTGTTGATCAGGTAATTGGTGTTATATTATATGATCAGGTAATTAGAGTTAATCTCGTTGTGAATTCAGTATTCACCATCAACAAACTTTTGGTCATATATTGTATCATATCAAATATATATAATTAAAGACTTAATATATAATTTAAACCTTGACATGAACGTTCTTCGCAATATACAAGAAATATAGCATTTACATATTACATCAGTGTGTCAGTGTTATATATATATATATATATATATATATATATATATATATATATATATATATATATATATATATATATATATATATATATATATATATATATATATATATATAGTTTCTATTTCTATTTTGAAGAATATAACTCTAAAACGGCCGTCGAATAATACAATACATGTTATATTTAAATGGAAATTTAATAATGTGCGTTCCTAGCTCTTTCATGTAATTTGATATACAAAAAGTATGATGGGGAAAGGTCAGGAAGGTTCTAGATCACATGGGAATATAGAAATTGAGCAGTTTATATTGGAAAATAACAAAAAAAGGTAGCAAGGAATTGTGGACGTAGGTAATGAAGAATAGGCGGCCCAATTACCGCGCACGACCATCTTCTAGAAGCAAAAGTCCAGCTGCCAAGACATAGAGACAACGTGATTATAGAAACAAAAAATGTTTTCTTTTATCAAAAGAAAATTATAAAATTATTCATATAATAAATATAAATAATATTTATATTCTACATCAATAAATTGAACTTATGATATTTTATGACGCCACAGTTTAAAGCGGTTTTCTATTGTAGTGTATATCCATCAAATTAAATGTTTGTCTCAATTCGTCTAAAGTTTCGTTTTCAAAATACGATCCGGATAAATAAAAGATCTCTAGATCATGGGGTGGCACGTGTTTTTTTTAATCAGTAGTGTAATAGGAATAATATGTAGGTTTTGTGGCTTTAGCCGGATTGATTTGGTTTTATCAAACGGCGAATGTCTGTGTGTTATACAGAAATATCTAGTTGAAATCTTTATAAATATATGTTTTTTTTAAATATAATAATTACATTGTTGTTAAATTTGATATAATAATTCGTATATTAAATTGATATATTATATTAATTATTTTGAATTATATGAGAATATATACATCTATTATAATTGCATTATTTCAACCATTTAAATAATTTTTACCTGCGAGTTACTCAAATAAATTTAAATATAATATATAGTTTAATGTTACTTATACCTGTTACTGTTAATTAATTTTTTTAAATTTATTTGTTTAACGTTTTAATTTCTGTCATTATAATTATTTAAAACATCAAACATTCTTTTTTGATTTTAAATGTAACAATATAATCATTTATATAGAGTTATTTTGAACTATTGTTATTTTAAGGTACTTATTTAAAAATCTTTAACGATTATAAAAATATAATTTACGAAATATTTTAGTTAAATTGAGATTATAGTTTAGTTTTTGCATTTAGAATTATAATTTATCACTTTTAATTATTCATAAAATATTCATTGAGTTTTTTAAGTGAAATTAAATTTATATTTAAGTTGATACTGTAATATTATACTTATAATAACAATTTAAGTATTTTGTCCAAACTATTCAAAATTGTAGCTCTAAACTGATAATTGTTTACATATAACAACATATTAAATCTAATAAATTAAGAATGATATGTTAAAAGTTAAGGATATAATTTTATAAGTAGAAATAAATATATTATTTAATATTTAAATTTAGTTTATTTATGATTACACTTTAAGTTTGCTATTTAGTTAACCTTATTATCCAACTTATAATCATTATTAGAAAGACACTACAGTTTATCATGTTTAACTATTTACGAAATATTCTTTGGATTGTTTAAATTAAACAAAAACTTATATTTAAGTTGATCATGTAATGTTATATTCAAATTTATAATTTAAGTATTTTATATAAATTGTTCAAAAGTTATAGCTTTAAAATGATAATGATTTACATCTAACAATATATTTAAACTAACAAATTAAGTATAATATGTTAAAAGTTACAAAACATAACTTTATAAGTATTATTTTAATATTGAAATTTAGTTTATATATGATTACATTTTAGGTTTATATTTATTTAATCTTATTAACAAACTTATAATCATTATTATAAAGAAATTGAAAAGATATAGGAGTTTCAAATGAATATGGTGAAAGCAAAAATTCATGAGAATTTCAAATATATTTTTAAAATGTTGAAAGATATATGTTTAAAATGGTTATGTTATTGACATTAACTTTGACATAATGTTTTGAATAACACTATTCATTGACATCAACCCACATTCCTTATTGATAAAATTAAATATAATTATCTATTTAATATACTTTTAACAATTGTTATGATTGATTAATTTAAATTTTTACTTATGCGATTATTTTCTAATTTAAATAATAATGTTCATTTAAAATACAATTTATTTGTTGTTAACGTTACACAATTTATAAATTGAAGTTATTATCATTTAAAATTATTGTTCTTTAGTTTTAAACCACTTATTATTATTAATAAGTTAAAGAAGACTTTTAAGAAACACTTAATATTATTATTAAAATGTGAAACATGTACTAAATAATAAACTGATAAGATAGACAATTTGCATTTCAAAAGAGACTTGCATAGATAATATGACATATCCATGATTTTTATAATTTGATTTTATTATTTATAATTATGGTCCATTAGTTTTAAAATCACTTATTATTATTAATAAACAAAAGAAAACTTTTAAAAGCCACTTATTATTATAATTAAAATGTTAAAAATATATTAAAATATAAAGTGATAAGATAGACAATTTGCATTTTAAAAGAGGCTTACATGGATACTATGGATAATATTGCATATTCGTGATTTTTAATTAATTATTACTTTGAAGAAACACAATCATACAAACATATATATATATATATATATATATATATATATATATATATATATATATATATATATATATATATGGAATATTTAATTAAATATTATTTATACCACTTTCCATAGCATATGATCCATAACATAAATCTAATCTAAGGCTATCTCCAATGGTAGTTTAATGAAGAGTTGAATGGGGAGTTTAATCCCATTAAACTCAAAATCCCCATTGTGGATTAATGACATGACACTCAATAAAATGGGGAGTTCAATCCCCATTGAACTCCACACTCTCTCTCCTCACACACACATACATAAATGATGTGGCAATCCATTAAATTGTATTGAGTTTAATGGAGTGTAGAGTTTAATAGATAAAATTATATTGTGAGTGGCATGTATATATGTGGCAATCCATTGAACTCATTTGAGTTCAATGCATTGAAGATGGCCTAATTTACATTAAAGTTTCAACAACAACAATGATTGTCTTAAAAGAATACTTAAACCAAGAAAACTATTATAAATAAATAAATAAATAAATTAGTATATAATAAACTTACAAAGTAAAAACATTAACATAATAATATGGCTCAAAAAATGATCCAAAGCCCTCAAACAAACACAAAAGCTTTAAACTTATTTTCTTTGTGAATTTTGAATGTGATTTGTATGTGTCTACTCAAAGAGAATGAGATTTTTATAGTAGACTATTTATTAATTGTTTATTAATCATGTTATATAAGTTATAAAACCTTTCATGATGTGTGATTAATTACTTTGAAAGTGAAAATATATGAAGGGTTTCAAATGCATGAGATGACAGGAAAAATATCTCTTTTATAAGTATAGTATGATAGATATCTCAATTACAAAATACCTTATAGGAATATCTAAATTATGTTTTATTGGTTCTTTGTCCACAAAACATTTCTAAAAGTATCTTAAAATAAAAAATAAAAAGAAATATTTATACATTGTTTCTATCACGTCACAAAACTATCATGTCTACATATCAAGTACTTAACACTAAAAAATTTCAATATTTCACAACCTCTAAAACAAGTAAAACATTGTTTAAAATTATACAAGTCAACTCTAGTATTAATGTGAGACTAGCCAACTAGATAGTGGTTTTGCCTTTTATATTTGTGGTTTTGAGTTTTATTTCGGACGTTAGCAAATTCTGATAATTTAGTGATACTAACTTTTAACCATTAACCAACTATTTAAGAAAAAAAAAATATAAATACTTGAATCCCAACACAACCTAATCCATTGTCACTTAGATTTAAAATGGTTTTTTTAGAAACAAACAACCAAATAGCATGTCGGTATCATTAATTAGAAAAGTTTTGGTTGTTCCAAATTTTGACTGTTATTTTAAGTACAAACCATTGAAGCTCTTCGATATGGACACCATACAATCATCTTTAACCCATATGACTTTAAATGAGATTGGAAATCAGCATAACGAATTATCATATATTGACATCTGGAACTTCTAATCACAAATCATACCATGGAACTCCAATTTTAACCATTTCATTTGAATAAGCATTCAAACCATCAAAAACCAAATCATCTTTCAATTTTCATTGGTGAACATCAATTCCATAGCTTCTTCGACTACGAAATTACATCAACCATTTCGAATTGATGATTGGAATGTATCACTTCGAATAAACTTTCAAAGTCATCAATTATATTTTTTATCTTGACCAATCAAAACCAATTATTGACTCATGTATCGACCCATCAATGGTGGTAAAAATCTTGAAATCAATGAATCAAAATTGAAAAAATAGAAACATGAATCATAGATAAAATATGCATAGAAATCTATCAGAAAACTATTATAGACACTGATTACGAAGATCGATTATACTGTAAAACTTCACCAACATCAGGGGCAAAGTCATAATTAACCAACGTTGGAACCACGAGATTTTAGGAACCCTGACGGAGACCATGATACTGGAATTGGGGTTGTTGTTAGGTGGGGATTTTAAATCTAGGAGAGATGGTTCCAAAGTTGTTAGAGTTGAGCCGTTTAATTCTACAAAAAAAATAGTAATAAAAACAACAGCAACAACAAACGAATGGGGTGGTGTTGAAGCTTCCAAAAGGAATCATGCGAGCTCGTTGTAAAGGTGCTTCGGAGATAATATTAGCTGCGTGTGAGAATATGATTGACCGAAATGACGAAGTTGTCCATCTTGATGAGGTATCGGTTAACAATCTCATGGGTATAATTGAGAAATATGCGGGTGAAGCTCTTCGAATATAATAATTATGTGAACTAGAAGCATTATTTCCAAAAGTCAAACTGAAAAGTCAAAGATAGTTCCTGGAGTCGAAGTTATATTGTTAATAGAAAAATCAAAATTTATACTTCGAAGGGAGGTCCTTAGAGTTTTTGAAATATGATAGTTTTGGTCATCTAATTTAAACTATAGATAGTAAGCGACAAACTACAAAAGAAATTTAGACCATATGGATCATTCGTGTAATTTCGAGTAACTGGTTAACAGATGAATGGATAAAGACTAATGATAATAGTTTAACTGACATGTATAGTAAAAGACTAAAAGTTAGATAACCTATTGCAGAAAAAAAAATCTGGTCAAGTCGGACAAAACACTTTATTTATGAATAACAACTTTCTATCGGTACCAAAAATTCTAAAAACAATATAACATAACCATATAAATATAAAATAAACTAAACAGCAGTATTTATACTCATCTATAAACCAACTTCACCATCTAATTTAATAATGAGGATTGAGGAAAATGCGTCAGCCCTTCATCCAGTTGATCAATTGTCTACTAATGTCTAATTATATAAAAAAAAACCGCAAAACGTGGCATGCTTAAAAAAGTAGTTAAACGAAACGGAGAAAGGGCAATACCGTCATTTTCAAATGTCAAAAATTTTGACTTCAAACACGAGCCATCCACACGTTTAACCCATAGAAATCTAGAATATAAAAAGATAGCCACCTAAAGTTGAAATTCACCATTCAAATTACATATATACCCTCCAAACCATGATCATAGAAATCTAGAATATAAAAAAATAGCCACCTAAAGCTGAAATCCATCGTTCAACTCACATATATACCCTCCAAACCATCATCTCTCTATATAAACACCAACAATCTACATTAATCTTCATTAGTTCAACCTCAAGCAATAAGTATTTAACATTTCTCTAATCAACATTACTTCTCATCGTTCATCAAATCGGGCGTCTTTGAAAGAAACTGAGGATCGGTATACAAATATTTGATAAAAAAAAATCAAGAAAATGGCACTAGACAACAGGTATAACTCGTGGGCAGATCAGTGGGATACAGAGCCAGAGTACTACAATGGTTATCCAGGAAACAAGAGCAACCATGGTAGTGGGGGTGGCATTAAGAGTAAGGTAGGAGAAGGGTTTGATAAGTCAAAAACAGCAGCAGCAACGGGGATGAAGAAGGTTAAAAAAGGAACAACTCTTGGATTTCATTGGATTAAAGAAAAGTGCCACAAAACCACTCATAAATAAATAGTGATCGATCCATTAAGGTGCATATTTATTGGTGTTGTTCATGTTTGTATGATATTTGAGGATCTTGGTAGGGTTTTGTTCATAATTATCTTTTTAAGTTTGTTGATGGTTATGTTATATTTGTTCGTTAATTTATTGATGTAACAAGATAATTTATTTTTATTTTTTTTTACTTTTTATTTTCCAGTGAATTTGGTATCTCAATTTATTGCATGGGTGGGTCTCTTACTCTTGTAGTCTTGTATTGAAATTTTTGCTGCAAAATAAAAACTATATACGAAATGTAGCAATTTTAACGTGTGGTAAGAAAGTGTCGAGTTTGGAATGGAAGGACAAGTGGTGGCTATAGTTCTCATTCATCGTTTAGGATGCACCGAGTGGGAGAAAATCACCAACACCTTCAACCCGTTCATCTCTTTCTCTTTAAGCTTGAACCATATGCATCAAAACTTGAACATTGTGAGTGATTTGAGAAAAATGGATTATTTTTGTTGTCGGTTTGATAGATGAAATTAAGAGGATAAATAAAAAATGATGTCATGTATAGTTATCAAGTGGATTGGCAGGTTGAGGGGGGACTCCCTCTACCGTAGGGCATGTTTGGTCCACTAATTTTGAAGAAAGTTGGATGAATTTGAATGTAAATTCCAATAAAAGTTGTTTTTGTTTGACAAAATAAAAGAAATTGAAATTTGCCAGATTCCATTTAGTTATGTGCTTCAAGGAATTGTTTCCTTATCTTTTATTACAAAGATAAAAATACACCCTCAAATCATATTAATTTTAGTTACAACTTATCAAATATAAACACATTATCATCATCTCTCTCGCACCCTATCACCCACCCAACCCTACCCTCACACACACCATGACACCAACTAACACACTCATACCCACGTGCCTACTCCACCACATACCCGCATACCCATCTTATCTTACCCACTTACCCATCATCACCCCTACCCTACCCACCCAAACCCAAACTCACCGAGCACCAACCCATTCAAACTTATAACCACCCACTCGCCAACCCACTATCATCCTTACTTCACCCCCCCCCCCCCCAAACAACCACACTCATACCCACAATTACACAGACACACACATGGTTACGACTAGGGGCGGACCTACTTGGTGTTCAGGAGTGGCACACGCAACCCCTTAAATTTTATCGTCGAATGCAAAATTTAGTATAAATTCGTCAAAATCTATTACAAATCCGTTGGAAATTTGTTACGAATCCATCAGAAATCCGTCACAAAAAGCCCTAATTATTGTAAACTTAGGTCTGGTCTGATAGTTGCAGTCTGGGAAAGTTTATTCACTGGAAAAGAAACCATGTTATTTGATTGTACAACTGACTGACTCTACTGAATGATTAAAAATGATTATATTACCCTATTGTTCTGATTGAAACTTTATATATTAAATGGTCTTCCTATAGCCTATTCTCAAAGAAAAGAAAGAAAAAGACAATGTTCGTGGCACAATTGTCTTTCCGATCTACTCGGCCAGAAAGATATGGTTTTAGGGCTTTATGGAAAAGATATATCTTACCGTAAGACTCTTTTTTTTGTGAAAATCAAACAATCTTTCTGCCCATTCATTAAGAAATATTTATTTGGACTTGAAAATATGTCTATCAAATAGGGTCTTAATGTAAATATGTCAGTGTAACTATTTTAGTGACGGATTTTGTGACAAAAACTGTCGTGGAAAAATAAATTTTTTTAGTAGTGCAACCCTTAAAAAAAATTGTTCAACCCCAGATATTTTTTTGTTCTGCTTACGCTGTTGCCCAAATACGCCATATAATTCAATAATTAACAAATAAAAGAATTTTATGAAGAAATGCATATTAAGGTTTATAATCGATGAAACTTTCTAATATATTAAAAAAACGTGTTAAATTAATAAGTGATTAAAGATATATAATAAAAACAAAGATATAAATAAATTGTTGGAGTTTTTTTAGGTTATTCAGTTTTTATGTTATCAACAAAAACCAATATAAAACCCAAAATATGACTTCAGTGTTGCTTAAAACCAATCGAAATAGTTTGATGTAAATTGTCTAATTTGATTTATTCAAATAACGATCCACTCTAATCACGCATCAAAACATTATTGAATATTTCTTGTTAATTAATAAAAAAATGTTATATCTATAAATGATTCTATATCTTTTAATATGAGACAGAAATTTAAATATCATAAAGTTTATTTATTTAGTTATTTCTGTTCAAAATTATCAATAACGAGTAATAATTAAACATTAAATTACATAGTTTCTTTAAATTTTATTTTTTTCTAAATGCAGTTGTCATCGTTGATATGTCAGGCGCATTACTAGAAGCGTATGATGAATTACATAGATGCTGTTTCTTAAGCACTTCCAGAGATGCAGAAGAGACCAAGGAAAATATAGTCAATTTAAAAAGGTCATCATGTTTGACCTCAAATACCAGTCATCCAACAAACAAAGCAAACAATAAAGAAAAATACAGCACCCAAAGTTGAAACTCATCATTCAAATTACATTTATACCCTCCAAACCAATCTCTCTCTATATAAACACCAACAATCTACATTAATCTCCATTAATTCAACATTACTTCTATTTGTTCGTCTTAATTCGGCTTCTTCTCAGGAAATTAAGGATTGGTATACAAAGATTTGATTGTAAAGATCAAGCAAAGAAAATGGCACTAGACAACAGCTATAACTCATGGGCAGACCAGTGGGACCCAGAACCAGAATACTACAATGGTTATCCAGGAAGCAAGAGCAACCATGGAAGTGGCAACATCATTAAGAGTAAGGTAGGAGAAGGGTTTGATAAGTCAAAAACAGTAGCAACAACGGGGATGAAGAAGGTTAAAAATGGAACAACACTTGGATTTCGTTGGATTAAAGACAAATACCACAAAACCACTCATAAATAACTAGTCATTGATCCATCAAGATTCAAGGCACATGTTTTATTTGTTAGAATGGGATCATGTTTGTATGATATATATTTGTTTGTTAATTCACTGATGTAAAAAAAGGAGCATTGACTTAACTTTTTCTTGATACACAAAAAACTTGTTATCATAATCTGAAATGTCGAGGGAGACGACCACATTTACTCTGTGCTCTAAGTATCTCTTGGGCAAAATCTTGATTTCCAGTAAGCAAAAGCCCATTCAAGATCCGATTGAAGGTGAATTTTCTAGGGACAAAACCTCTGTCCACCATTTCTATCAACAGTTTCCCTGCCACCATTAAATCATCTGATCTCTTCCTCACAAACATTGCACTAATCAAAATATTGTATGTATCCAAATTAGGCAAACATTCACCACTACCCATTCTCTCAAAAACTTCCAAACTCTTTTCGATTTCACCTTCATCACAATAATACCTAATGATCACATTGAAAATTTGAACATTTGGTTCACATTCATCTTGTTTCATTCTGTCCAGATACTCCATTGCGTTGTCCATCTTTCCAACATGACACAATCCTCTGATGAGTACACTGTAAGTTGTTGAATTAGGTGTATAGCCCTTCTTTAACATCTCTTCAAACACTACAATGGCGTTTTCCACAGTGTCTTTCTTGCAGAGAACTTGAATGAATGCGGTGTATGTAGCAACAGAGGGAAGAATCCCTGTTTCAAGCATTTCATCAAACACCTGGCGTGCCTTTTGGATCTCACCTGAAACTCCAAAACCGTGAACCATTGTTGTGTACGTAACAACATCCATCACACATTTTCGCCGTTTCATCTCCAAGAAGAACTGCCAAGCTTCTTTAATCTGACCCGCCTTGAAATACCCATTAAGGATTATGTTATACGTCTTGAGAGTTGGCTCGAGACCACTCTCCACCATCTCCCTCAACACCTCCAATGCTCTAGGCGTTCGCTTAATCAAACAAAAACCATTCGCAATGATGTTGTAACTGATTGTATCTGCTTTGAATCTTCTCTTTAAAACCTTAAACAGGTTATATGCCATTTCAGCTCGTTTAGACTTGCATAATACATCAAGAAATGTATTGAAGCTATTCAAGTCTTGTTGGCAGCCATGTTCGTGCATCGACAAGAAAACTCTTACGGCTTTGTCGGGTTTTCCAGCGGATACGAACCGCTCGGTTATGATCGCGAATGTTTTCGGGTTCGGACCGAGCCTTCGTTTCCGCATACGGGCGACGAGCGTCCAGACAGTCTTGTAGTCGCGTAATCGGGCCGCAATGTCGATGGCGTGGTCAAATGAGGTGGTGGAGTGGGTGTAGATGGGATGGCGTTCGAGGAGCCTGAAGAATTCAAGTGCTTTGGGGCCATGGTTCCAAAGGCGTTTCAGGATTTTGTTTACCAGGTCCGGTGTCCAGCAGACAGAGTTGGTTTCAAGATTTTCACTTAGGGTTTGTAGGTCTAACTTTAGGATGAGGTTGCAAAGGCCGGCGGCATCATCTTCTTCCAGCGGCGGCGGTGAAGGAGGCGTGGTGGTGGTCAGGTTGTGAAACGACGATTTGAATTTTAAGGAACATACTACAGAGGAGCGATTTATCGTGTGAAGCCTGCTAACATTTCCGATCATTGTCTCCGACCGACCACCATCTCAGTTGCCTTATTTCTCTTGGAGTATCTGTACGGTTGCAAAAAAAACACCCTCACGTATAACGAAATTGCAAAAAATTACCTTAGTCTGATGCAAAACTTTGCATGTGGGCTAGGATGCAAAATGCAGTTTTCTTTCCACATTCTCGAGTTACGCCTAGTTAGTAGTTACTGAGTAAAATCAAGGGAAAAAATGAAGGAAAATGTGTTAGAAAAGAAAAAGGAAGGAAAAAAATTATACATTCGTTATTTCTAGTTGGAAACGAAGATTAGGAAAAAATAGACCCTTAAGCTTAAGCCTATTTTTTTTCAAAAAAAAAAATAATTTGGGAGGAAAATTAGCATAGAATATCACTTCTTTTTTCTTATCTCCAATTCTTTCAGAAAACTAATCTCATAACAAGATACAAAAATGTATTCCCAGTTCTCTTCATTTTTTTTTTCTCTTCGCTTCTTAAGTTGGACTCGGAAGTTAATTTAAGAAGTGGAATGGAATACAAGGAAAGTAAATCGTACAAGTAACATGTTTTTTGAGTTTTTTTTAAGAGATCGAAAAGAATAAAATGGAAAAAGAAATGTAAGCAAATAGATGCATTTTTCATTGGCCCACTTTTGTGGGGTTAAGAGGGGAAGTTAATTTAGGTTCATTCACCTTGCGTGAATTAGATGACACGCGGACAAACTTGAGTGAAATTACAGGATCAAATAAATATCATAAAAAGCTTTGATCCCGATTTCCAGTTTCTAAGAGTTGACAAGTTACTTATTCATCCTATACAATTTTAATAAGAATTATTTTTTCTTGAATTATACAAATACCTCTAGTATTATTATAGCTTTCAAATCACAAAATCTTTTTCTTATAGTACAATAAGTGAAATACAGGAGTACTAGTAATATTCAAATATTATTATAAATTATGTATCAAGTTAAAACACTATGTTTGCTTTTAGACCAAAGATAGTCGCACACTGAAAGCAAAAAGCAAATGGGATTGTTTTCAAACAAAATAGTAATTATATAAAGGTATATTGAAAATTTTCTAAAAAGTTCTTGAAAAGCTATTTAAAATAGTTTTTTAAAAGTTAGCTTATAAGTTATTTTTAACATAACAAACATAACAATTTAAAATAATAATAATAATAATAAGTTAAATATGGTGTATCAAACACAACCTTAACAATTTATGCAACCATCAACTAGTTAATTAAAATATACAAAGAGTAAATTCCACAATTCATCCCCAGTGTAAGTGCCAAAAAATGTTTTTGTTTTTATTTTCAAAAATTGACTCGTACAATCACTCGTTTATTTAAATTGTGCATGCTTCATCCCTAATGTCGCTAGTCAGACATAAAAAATGACCCTTATCTATTTCATTTTGATTTATTTTTATTTGTTAGTTATATTTAATTAATTACATATTTATTTGTTTATCCATCTCTTCATCTGCAAATCGGGAAATCTAGTGAGGTTATTTCGGAGATGGCTCGAAGACGGCGGTGTACAGATGGCGACGTTAGTGATATTCTTTTCTCTCTCTCTTAATAACTCCCATGGTGGTATTCCCTCTTGGTATCTCCTGTCATGTTCTTCCCTCTCTTTGTAACTCAGCATCATAAAAGACGAATCGGTGGAGAGCAAGGGTATGGGTGGGGCTAAGGTAGAGGATTTGTGGTGGTGGGCTCATTTTTGTTTTTGGTTTTAAATTATTAATAATAATAAATTAAAAAATAAATCAAAAAGAAACGGACATAGTCATTTTATGTCCGTCAGGAATGGTCCAAGTGAAAAAAAAAAACATTAAAGGAATGATCCGGGTTAATTTTTGAAAATAAGGATTAAACACGTAATTTGACACCTGCTCGAATGACGAATTGTATAATTTACTCTAATACAAAATTTAGCGAGAGATTAATACATAACATAGTTATATAAATCGATAATAAAGATATACATAAATCAATCAGAAAAGTATAATTCCATTGCATGTTTAGGGATACGTAAAGAGACAATCAATAGAATTTCTCATTTCCTCGTACCTTCGTCTTTGGGTTTGGCAGTGGCAAGGAAAGACCCCAAGTCAACGAATCATTCCACAGTCACAAAAAGTTATAGGAAGAAATACGGAAAACACCTTCAAATTCTCATATTTGCCCCTTCATACCAACATATCAACAATATCACAGTGATGAATATGATGCACTTAGGTTAGGGGTATATAAGTCCTTGCCAAACGACCAAATTACCCCACCACAGCTCTCATATACTAATATACTATAAACTGGTCCCACTAGCTAGGCCACCATTCATATTCCTAAGTCAATAGTCTTGCCAACAAGAACTCGTGCCAAATGACAAAAATACCCATCACCAAACTTCTCAACAGGACTACCTGTGGCTGTTAGTGTTTATATCATATTCCCACTCGCTTACTAAAGTCAAGATCTGGTTAAATTACATAGATGCCCATTCCCCTTAATGACACTTTTTAAAGACTTCTAATAGACCAAGTCTTCTCTTTTGCAAACACACACACACACAGAAAGAAGACGATGAGAGAAAGTATAGGAGAGAAATCAGGAATCAGCGAATCAGTGATCATAAAAGCTTCTTCTTTATCAATCAAATCACACAAATCCAACGGCTATATCAAGGAATCCGGTCCCGATGAAACCATTTTCGCCTTCACCGGATCATGGTCCGTTCAAGATTTTTACAGCCGGGACCCGTTTGGCGAAACCAAGATCGATCTTTCGCACTTTCCATCACTAAAAAGCATCGGAAACAATGAACTTGCCAAGATCAATCAAGGATTCTTCCAAAGATTCCAATCCCTCTTTCAAACACCATCTTTCAAGTCCGAGGTAATCCTCTTCATTTCTCTCTTCCAGTAATAACAAGGGCATCTACGTCTTTTACACAAAGATGTACCTTGTTCCACCTTTGTTACCGCTCAGTCCCAGTACAACTTGTTCTGTTCTGTTTTGTTTTGTTCTATTCTGTTTCTGTCTCTAATACCAAAATCGTTATTTTTGCACAGGTAGAGAGAGCGGTGAACAAAGAGAAACCCATAATCTTCACCGGACATTCTTCCGGCGGTCCGGTGGCCATCCTGGCGGCGGTTTGGTACCTTGAGGAATACACGCGATCCAACGGTCGGCCGCCCTGTAAATGTTTAACTTTCGGGTCACCTCTCGTAGGTGACCGGATATTCACACACGCCTTAAACCGAGAAAATTGGGCGCGTTTCTTCCTCCATTTTGTCGGGAGGTACGACATTGTTCCTAGGATAACACTCGCCCCATTCTCCTCCCTCAAAAACGAATTCGGTCACATTCTCGATTTCTTCAATCCCAAATCCAGAAACTTCCGGAAACAGTCACCTTCGGGGTCACAAGAAGCTTTGACTTTTTACAAAACGGTTTTGAAGAATTCATCGTCTGTTGCGAGTCATGCTGCTTGTAATCTCATGGGAAGTACAAACTCGTTACTTGAAGTGATCTCGAGTTTTGTTGAGCTTAGTCCTTACAGACCTTCCGGAACGTATGTTTTTTGTAGCGGGAATGGGAAATTGATTTGTGTGACGAATCCGAATGCGGTTCTTCAGATTCTGTTTTATTGTTGCCAGCCTGGCAGTGAAGCGGAAGCTATGGATGCAGTAAGTAGAAGCTTAAACATGGATTATAATGATGAATTGGAAGAGAGCTTATTAGGGATGCAAGATGTTGTGTACCTTGACGATGATATGGAGATTCCAATGTCTTCCAATGATAAAGGTTCTGGTGACACTGACACAGCTACCATAAACGCAGCTTTAAAGGACCTTGGTCTGGTGAGTATCGATGAAGTATAATAATGCTTTATAAAGATGTAATTTTTAGGGTTGAATGCAACATTGATATTTCTTACATTTCGCCCTAATTTTAGGGCTTACGAGTTATAATCTTTATTTTCAGAGCACAAGGGCAAGGCTATGTCTTCAAGCAGCACAAGCGTTTGAAAAGCAAAAGCTACAAAACCAAAATACAATTGATTCCAAGAAACCCCAGATCAGGAAAACCCTCAAGATAATAGCTGACTACCAAAAAACAAGTGAAGACCGAAAGATTGGTTATTATGATGCTTTCAAGATTCAAAAGGGTAATGATGACTTCAATGCAAATGTAACAAGGCTAGAACTAGCAGGTATATGGGATGAGATTGTGGAAATGTTGAAACGTTATGAACTCCCGGATGGATTTGAGAGTGAGGAAGAGTGGATCAAGTTAGGAACCGAGTTCAGGAGACTGGTGGAGCCATTAGATATAGCTAATTACTATAGGCACTCAAAGGATGAAGACACTGGGACTTATTTGAGAGATGGGGGTAGACCAAAGCGTTATAAGTACACTCAAAGATGGTGGGAGCATGAAAAGAAGTTGAATGAAGGGTCGAGCTCAGAGACCATATTTTGGGCAAAAGTAGAGGAGATGAAAAGGAAACCATTTGAAGAGATAAAGGATCAAATTGTTGCTATGGAGAAACAAGTCAAAGAATGGGTTCAGAAAGAAGAACTGAACAAGGATGTGTTCCTGGAAAAATCTACCTTTGTTAAGTGGTGGAAAACGCTCCCTGAGAAGCATAGATCAGAATCTTGCCTGAAATTTCACTTCCAGACTTCCACATAGTGAAAACAAACATGTTTTATAAAGAAAGAAGACCACTTTCATCTACAATAAGCAACTAATGGTTATCTTGTGTACCCTACCCCTACCCTGTAATGGTGTCTATGTCATTTGTCATGTATCTCTTTCGGTTCCAATAAATACATTCATCCAAATTGTAATATATGTATTTATTCATACATAATACATACATAAATAACATGGAAAGCTTCAAGATTCCTTATTATACTGCTAATGATCAGTTGAATAAGGTTTAAAGATGCCCTCTATAAATTTCAATCAAAACGTTTGTATTCAATATCCATACCAATTAGTCCTCTATAGAATCATATTGCTATAAAAATGGTTCAACCGATTAGAGAACTGCATAACTATTAACAGCAGTTTCTAACAGTAAAGATACGAGAAAGATGTGAAAAAAGAGGCCATCATACATACTTTTCTAACGCCTAGGGATCATACTGTAAGAACGCCCCATTTTTGAAGATAGATTACCCGGGCCATGGTGGTCATACTGTTTCCTGCATCCTGGACAACGGCCATCATCTTCAAGAATTCTCTTGTGGCAGAAAAGACAGAGCCTGTAGCCACATGGACAAGGAAGAAAACTTGTATCTGTCAAATCCAGATCTTCACAGCATATCGGACACGTTGATGGTGAACAAACATTCTTGAAACATGGAAAGCTGTTTTGTTTTAGTAAGTTTGGCAGACTCTGAGGTCGAAAAACATCATCTGCTCTCCAAGCTCGAGCACAGCAATCATCTTGACTTGCCTCCATGGTTGCTGTCACAGAATCTGGCTCAGGGGATTCAAGGTTATCATTTTTAATGTCATCAGCTGCTAAAGCATCAGCAATTGCCTCCCAATCATCCAAGCACTCGTTGTCCCCATCATCTTCTTCAGTCATGCTTTCTGAACAACAACCTCCACTGCTACTACTGCTACTGCTGTTGCTGGTAAAATGAGAAGGTGATCTGTTGCTCCCGAAAACACTACTCATCGGACTGTTAAATGGTGACTCGGAATCACTGCATAGATTCCTCAAACCCTCATTCTCTTCGCCACTGGGATTAATATCATTCCGTTCAGCAGGCATTTTCACACCACTAACACCGTTGGTTTCTTCCTTGCATCCTTTGTTCTTCACTGTAAAACAATTCAGCGAACTGGTTGTTAAAGAATACGTATAACCTAAATTATGAAAACCAAACAATTCCAAACTATGCAAATGTTATATACTTAAACACAGATAAGAAGAGAGTTGAATCACCTTGGGAAAGCCACTGTTCACGACGAACATCAAGTTTGCTCTGCTTCAATTTGGCTGCTCTATTCACCTTCAAACCCGAACAAAAATTCACAATTACTCAAACGAATATGCAAAATACACTTTTCAAGACTATCCTCCAATCTATAAACATAATCAACGAAAATGACAAGATCCACATAAATTTACCCTCTTTTTCTTGCCAAATTCCTTGGCGTTTGATGCCGCAATCGGGATCGAATCGTAACCCATGGCTGAAAAATATGTCAAAGAAAACCTAAAGATATACAAATCTATACTATCCAAAGCGTATGCAAAATATCTCAGAAATCAAGATATGTATAAAAAGAGTTTTAGATATTTATGAACAAGTAAATTGCGTTTTTACGTGGATAAATAACACGGAAACTGCTTTGCCTCGTTCGCCCCTCTTTCACTGTTCACGGAAACATCTGGAGCTGAATAAATAATAATACTATAAATGCCGTTTTTACATTTATGCCCTTCCCATTGTTACTAATTTTCTGGACTTGCCATCAAACGTGAAAGAAAACTATTGGTTGTCACATAAAAGCTAGACGTTGTCGTTTCGATAAGTTAAAGGATGCCTTTAATCCAAAATATCCGCCGGCCTAATTTCCTTTGTGTAACTAAAGGCATACAAATAGGTTACATTGTTGTACGTGGTTGGTTCATGTTGTCTTTTTCATTTATTTATTTTATAAATTATTTAAAAGCTTTTAGAATGATTATTAACTTATTTGTACTAAGAATTAAACAGACATTTCTATTATTGTACAATAGTATTATATGACCAATATAATGTCAATTATCTTCTAATTATAGCCCATCATCGTAAGTACAATAAAATATTCTGTAGAAAATGGTCTCCGATAATAAATCAATTACTTTATATTTTTTAATAATTATATTATTTATAATTGATATTTGTTCTTTAATATATTTATATTATTAATAGTTCTTATTAAAATTATCGTAAAAATGTAGTTTTATTTATATTTCGATTAAAGTTTGAATATTATTTTTAAAAGGATATCCAAATCAACTTGCAAAGTTGCAATCTATCTATATATCCTAGAGTTGACTCATGTATCACATTAAAATTATCAATGAGTACAATTAAGGTTTGAAGTAGTCGTGTCATTTCTTCATTTTACCACACTGTGTTTTCATAAAAAAATATATATATGGTTTGTTGCCACAATCAATGAGTGGTATCATCCTTGGATTTTTTTAATGAAGAAAAACTTTATATGTTTTTTTTTTAAAAAAAAATAGTATTTTATTAATTAAAACTAAAAGTACCATTACATTGCATAGCTTTATATTAAAAAAAAAAAAAAAAAAAAAAAAAACCCTCCCACATCAAACGATTAAAAACTTGAAAAAAAAACTAAAAATTAAAAATGATTCGTGTAACGTTTTTTAACATCCTCCATCACCAAAAGAACTTGAAGCTCAACCCCGGTCAATTTCGATGTATCCATCGCTAGCACTCTCGTGTCGCTGTCCCTTTGTTTCCAAGCCTCTCTATTCGAAGCATGTTGGAAAATTTTATTCATTCTCATCTTTTATGTACTGCACATTGTCGCCCATTTCTTTCAAGGCATCCGACTCTGCCTTTTTGTCCTAGCCTTTTGTTTTTTGTTTTGTTCTTTCCAATCGGTCGGGAGGGGGGTGGTGGCACTTGAATAAGCTCATCATCGTTAAGGTCGAAACCAACACGAGCTTCCGATGTACTGATCGGTTTCGGAAGTTCTTGACCGTTTTGAGCCACTATCGATGTGCTTGTCCCTTATTTTTTTATTTTGCCATTTTTTGCCTTTAACTAGACTCCAAACTTCAAAAAACTTGAAAAGCTTCTTTTGCTTTTTTGGTAAATGTTAAAAGCTTTCTCCAAAATCACATATTCGCCACTTTTCCATTGTTGTTTCATGTTGTTATACAAATCCTTAAACAACATGATTTTTTTGTTTAACTTTCACCATTTCGAGTAGACTTGATATTTATAACGATATGGTGGTAGGTTCATTCCTTTGTGGAACCTAGTTCTAACACGAATCCAAAAACGATCATGTTTTTGGTCCGTTACTGTCATCGGATCTTCTGAAACGTCAATCCATGATTATGTCAATGCTACCACTTCTTGGGGTTCCCACATTTTAGCATCCACCTTCTCTTTTCTTTTATTTTGTAGTTGAGCAGATTGATTTTCTTGAACAAATTCGGGTTTGGATTCGGAAATTGGTGTTTGTGGTTGTAATTGTGTTTGTGGAACAAATTTAGGTTGAGTAACAATATCAAAAGGATCAAAATATGGGTCGAGTTGTACTTGTGTTTGTGGAAATGGTTCTATATGTCATTGTGATTGTGAGATATGTTGTAGGGAAGCATACTGTCGTAGTGAGGGAGCGAATAAATCGGTTGATTGTATGAAAGTCGTGGGGTTGTGGTGGTGTTTCTAGTGGGTGTTTTTTGGCTGGTATGTTTTTTGGAGGATGATATTTTCAAAGGTTTTGAAAACATAATATGGTAAAATATGAAGTGTTTGTGAGTTAGTTTGGTTTAAAATGTTATGTATTTATAGAGTTGGTAAATATAAATAAAAGATAACAATTTTGAATTTTGTTATCGTTCCAAACGGTCAAAAAAAAACAGCCGGCCAATCAACAAACACGCCTTTTTATTGTCGATGTTCCGGCTCACGTGGCATCGGAAGTCCAGTAAAGACCGCAGCCACTCCCAACGATCTAATTAAAACTCTGAATATTCAACTAATTCTCTAAGATCGTTTCATTTTAAAGATGATTAGATAATTCATTATTTTATTTAATAATTAAAGTGGTTAATTTTTTAACAAGAATAACTATTTTGATTCGTGATAGATTCTTATCAAATAGTCTAAATTAGTTATTGCTATAAATTTCAATTTGTAATAACTAGATTAAACACACATTGGCATCCTACAAATTGATTTTTTAACTAGATTAAACACACATTGGCATACTACAAATTGATTTTTTATCTTCTCGTGTTCGCCACATAAAATACATAGAGTTACATCAACATTTTTGTCAACTAAATTTGCATTAGTTGTTAACCACCAATAGGAGTAAGTTTTATGGTGCTAGATTGTTCCAATGTGCCCTCCCATCTCCAACCTAAAAATATCAATCATTTATCTAGTCGACTAGATCAAATAAGCTTCAAAATCATCTCATTGTCTTCATCCATATCACCAATTCCAACCCCAAGCACCATGAACATCAAACCGATGACTCACCACACAACCTCCATCAACTCAAAGTGGGGAAAAATCTAGGAAACATGTTCCGAAAAGAATAAATATCAATTCAAACATCCTCTCAAAACATAGTAGAATTGAGAATTCTCATTGCCAACCTTCTAATAAAAAAAACACCTCAAAATCTGACATTTTATATTAAAGATACTTAAAATAATCAACAATGTTGGTCATAACCCCTTTGAATTTAAGTCTATTTTGAACCCTCCCCAAGGAATCCTATACGTTTGTGAATCACGGAGACAGCAGAAAGACCATATAATAGTCAGATTAGTTAACAATCTATACTCAATCCTCCCTCTTGTTTAGGCGCTAAAAATTTCTTCCACTTATTCTAAAATCTCAAGTATTGATTTTTTTAATGCTTTTCAAATTGTTTTCACTAGTTGCAATTGGTTCAAATTCACACTTAGATTTCAGTTTCGAAAACATGAAAATCTGGCAACAACTTGGTTCATAGTTCTAACTAGCATCAATGTAACATCTTAATACAACAAAGGTACCTCCTAAAAAAATTCTTTTAAATAATATCTAAAATCATTATGACATGTATACTTATGAAATAACATGACTAACATCGTTTACACGGGGACATTAAAAACCTCTAGATAAAATGCATATGTTATGTCCTATCTTGTCTTGTCCCGGACTGAATACCTTTCAAATGTACCAAACATGTTCCAACTTCATAATAAGATATAAAGATTAAACAGGCTGCAACAAACAATGCCATGTAAATCATCCACCATTCAAACCTAAGCATTAAAGCTACATTTACAGTTAACAACAGTCTAAGTCAAAATTCCCGAAAACAAACAAAAGACTCAACAACACAACAATGGCTGCAACTTAATAAACATTAACCAACTTAAGTTATCGACCTCAAAGGATCTAAATTCTGTCTTTAAATGATACCCTTCCAACCAGAGTTGAATCCCCAATAACTGTTAAATCTTGTATCTATATATGTATTTGCTTCTTCCTCTCACTCAGAGATTCCTTGACACCATTTTATATAAGCTGCATATAAAAAAAAGAACCAGAAAGAGGTCATCATGTTTACATATGGAGCTTTGCAAAATTTGCCACATTTTGGGACTAGACAAGCTTTGTAGGCTATTTTTGATGAAAATGAGGAGGGCATTTACGTCTTTTGTCCAGACAACAGATTCTCTGTCCCACCTTGTCCAGTAGGACCAAAAATTGCAATTTATGTCTCGTTGACAGTGATTTTGGACAAATTTTGAAAATGTATAGATTCATTTTTCCCTCCAAAATTCTTTTTTTTTTTTACATTTTGCAAGAAATATGGTTTATCACTCTGATTAAAAAGTCAACCACTTTATAAATTGGTGGTAATTTAGAAAATATTTATAATGGTTTATCTAAATGCTTATATATATGTAGATATAACAATCACCTGTTTAGCAACCTTTTCTAGGTTTGCCTCCTCTTTAGTTGACTCTTCTATTGAGATGGCTTTCTCATTCTCGCCTTGAGTTGACTCTTGTATTGACTTGACTTTCTCAGTCTCCTCTTGAGTTGACTTTTCTGTTGCGATGACTTTCTCAGTCTCCAAAAGGGCATTTTCGTCCTCTTTTTTCTTCTTCTCATTCATGTTGTTGACCAAGTCACTTCCATTGGTGCTGAATGTCCCACGTTTCCTCTTCCTTTGGAACGTGTACTTGATAACTCTACCACTTATTGTATGAATAGGAACCCCAACCCCACCAGTCTCAACAGCCTTCAACTCTGGGGCATCAACCGGAGCTTCTGAGGTTGGGGGCAATTCAGTCTTTTCACATTCCATAGGTAGAAGTTCCTCTCTCAATCTTCTATGAACGTCGCTTACTCTTACCAAATCCGAAACAGTATTAATACTTTCAGCAGAACCTTCCCTTAAACACTTAGCTGACTTTGCCATGGTTGAATATGAACTCTCAGCCACATGATCAATCTCATCAAACTGATCCAACGGTTGAGATCCCTTTTTCCCATTTGAGCTCGCTCTTTTCATGTCCTTTTTTCTTTCATCACCGAGGGAGGGCTCTTTATGTAATTTCTCGCTTTCTTCATCCGTTTCAGTAATCAAATCAGGCTTAAGGATATTTGTTTGTTCATATAGGGTCCCTTCACATGCATGAATTCTATGAGTACAACCGCTTCTGTTTAACTTCCTTCCTTTGGTTCTTAAGATTATAGCTGGTAAATTTTGGTTATCAACATAAGACTTCCAAAAAGGAATTAAAGAATTATACAAGATCTGGCCTTTGTTCCTCTCATCTTTATCAGAAGTTGGAATGGAATCAGGGTTAACTGCATTTTTTGGTTTGGTCCTCTCTAATTCAGCATGCATGAAACTTAACTCTTC